AGAGAGAGAGAGAGAGAGAGAGAGAGAGAGCTGCATGTTGTGTTCTTAGCAAAGAGAACGAACAGAGAGAGAGAGAGAGAGAGAGAGAGAGAGAGAGAGAGAGAGAGAGAGAGAGAGAGAGAGAGAGAGAGAGAGAGAGCTGCATGCCTCGTGTCACAAGGAAGGTTTGATGAGAGAAACGACTTTGGGACCATACCATGAAGAGACTACAGAAACTGGCACACGCATGAAGCTGTACAATATGATTGACTTCCATAGGACAAACTGACGAAAAGCCATGGGCAGTGAAAGGTGCAGGCAGGGGGTGTCGTAGTAGCAAGCAAGAATAGTAGAAGTTAGGAAAGGTGTTTCGTGTGGAACGGGATTAAGTGTAGACAGGTCCATGTCATAATGAGTGTGGTGCCAAGGCAGCTAAAGATTGAGAAAGGACAAGGTAGGACAGCTCAGGTTCAAATTGATGTGGAGGGTTGTTCTTCGTTTTTCGTCTTTCTGTCCTTGCTCGTTGTCGTTAATGGTGTGTTATGTTTCTAGTCGAGGATTTCGGATTGCTAGTGAAGAACCCAGATGACTAATGTATGCTTGGCGGGTCGCAGATCTGACCAGGTGTAAGACAGAGGCATAGTTTGGCAGGCCAGATTGAGATTTGCTCCTGCTTTACGCATTATGCAAGTGTTGACTCAGAGAAATATAAATGTTGATTGGCGAAGGATAGAAAAGAGTGGCAAATGTGAGAGGGCTTTCACCCTGATATGTAATTTTTTATATATTTATTTGTAGATTATAGAATTATTACTTACAAGGAATTGCTCTCCATAGTGTGGCAACATTTTGTAAATGGTTGTGAAATGCGGGTTTGCTCTCCTGTTTTTTTCCATTTCTTCGTTTCCACTCATATTTAGGGTTAACGTGATGAGCGCACATCGTTTTAGTGTGGCTTATAATAGCAAGTAACCTATAATGTCTTGTTGCTTGATTGCCTTTCTTTCCCTGGTGGATCACGTGCGGGAAAATAATTGCGGCGACATTGCCTTCATCGATTTGGCGGATGTATCTGAACGGCAGATGACCTGCCAATATGGGGTAGGTATCGTAACCAACACTGGAAAAAAAAAAACTGCATGTTGCTGAATGACTGGTGAAATCCAGCATTCATGGTGATGTGATAAGTTGGCGTGGCACTCGTCATGCACAAACTCTGTCGGACTGTGCTGGACATATCAAACCAACCGCTGTTTATCTATAGAGTAACTCCTGTCGATCCATTCAGCCATTGATCCAATCACACGAGAGCGTCAGTTGGGTGTCCTTTGGAAAATTACCGAGTCGTTGACACAGAGACGTTTTAGCAGTATAGACATAGATGAATCATGAACTGAAGTTTGGAAAGGGGCTTGGGCCCTTGGGGAGATGAAGTACCCATGAAAGAACAATTGCCATGAGAGCTATGTGAAGTGAAGGACGTTGGTGTTTGAAAAGGGAGATCTGTTCGAATGGTCTGTGGTAGGTGTTTTGAAACCTTCCTCATAGGGCGTGGTCGATTGAAGAGGCTTGGACCTCTGACACACTGAATGCTGTAAACCTGTCAAGTAGATTCTCAAATCGAAAGCAATTGCTGATAACGGGAATCGAACCCATATACCCTGCTTGGAAGGCATAGAATTGAGATACCAAGCTAGGGATCACAATTGCTCCCATAGTCGCTTCGCTTCCCCGTGCCTCATCTGATTATAACCCAATGATTGACCTATGCTTTAGTAGTCTTTCAATATGCATTTTTTAAAAACGTCCTGTCGATGCTGGTGCTGCTGCTCTATTTCTTCACCCTCCCTTGTTTGCTCTTCGTGGCTGGCGCAGATTCAATATTCTCATGCCCTCAACCATCTTTTGCCGGCAGGGAACCTCTGACACTGGTGACAACTGTTTGTCATTGCACTCTGGTTCCACAGGCAACCTTTTGCCCCCTTCATGTCGTGACCTTGTCCAATAGGACTCAGGTTTTGTCCTTGTCCCTGTAGCCGTGTTATTACAAGGCACTGCAACATTGCGTGGTGTGGGGAGCTCTGCAGCTATAGCATCTCATTTAGAAGCCATGTAGCTGCGTTGTACCGTCTGCCCCCCCCAGTTTTGAACTGGAACTGGCATATAACGTGTGACCATGAGCATTAGAGGGGTCCAATGGGATTGCAGAGTGTCCTAAACTCGGATCTCTTCAAACAGATGTCATGGAGCAGTCATGGAGACAAGGTTTGCGTGGTTAGGCCGAAAGAGAACCGCACGTGAAGGTGGTGTTTTTCTGTGGTTAATCTGGTTCGTTCAGGGTGGATGCTCATCTTCTTGCTGCTTCCACAGCTCATTCTGATAATGTTGCTCGTTGTGCTGCTGGTGTGCTTTTTCTTCTCGTGCCACGATTGCTGCTCCTGCTTTTCTAGATGTTGTTGTCGTTCTCGATATGCTTGTTTCTTTGCCTGCCACTGCTCTTATGCATTGCTGCTCCTGCTTTTCTAGATGTTGTTGTCGTTCTCGATATGCTTGTTTCTTTGCCTGCCACTGCTCTTATGCATGCAGGCCAGGGTACTCTGCTACTCTTTCTGGTGCTCCTCTCCCTTCTGGTGCCAGCTTCTGATGGTGTCTCTTTGCTTTCATTCTTGCTCATACTCCAGCCCATGCTGCTGTCATGTTCCCTGGTGCTGCAAATGTTTCTTATGCTTTTGCTACTGCTAATGTCACTGTTACCTTTGCACCCCATGCTTTTGTTGCTGCTTTCACACCCACCATTGCGGTCTGGTTTTGTCACACTTTTGAACAAACAATGGCTAATTTGCAAGTGGTAGGTCGAAGTTGAAAAATTGCAGCTGAGACTTAAAACTGCGTCGAGCTGCAAGTACAGCAAATGCATTGCAGCTGAGACTTTAAAACGGAGTTGAACCGCTAGGTCGTCTTACTGATGACCTTGCATTCAGCAGTGGCGATTTTGTATTTCTACCAGTTAGGCGGCGATTTTGCATTTCTACCAGTCAGGCTCTTCTGCCAGGGCCAGTTCAATGATTAAACGTACACTCAACCAAAAAAAATCACAATGGTGTGATGTTTTGTGGAATGCAGAGAATGGTGTCTTATTTTTCATCTAAAGACAGAGATCTTATGATGATAATGTGCGTGATGTCAATACAATATGCAATGCTTCGTACCTGTGCAGTTTTTTCCACCTGTTGCATCACAGTATTATGTGTAGTGGATGTTCATGTATTCTTTGTGCGTATTGTGTTATTATGTTACGTTTGGTGTGGCATGCAGAGGTGCACTGCTAAGTTTTTCTTTGATCATATCTAATGAAGAGTCTCTGAGTCTGACTAATTATGCAATCGTGCCTGTGTTATTACCTTTCATCAGGTCTTGTTGGGTTGACCAGCGAAAATGACAAAGAAGGCTTGAACTCTGATCAGGACTACATCTTCACGCACCGTAGTTTCACAATCTACTACAATGGGGACCAGGTAATTCGTGAACATAGTTGTTTCATACCTACCAATTTTCTCTGAGGTTTGCTCTGTGCCGTGCATCAAGAAAAAAAGAATAAGAGGAATCAATTCTTGAGTTGTGAGGCAAATATGATTCTAGGATTTGTAGTTTCACAATCTACTACGATGGGCATGAACCTGTGTAGCACACCGAACATGTTCGGCGCCCCACTGAGCAGCCGAACATTTTCGGTGGAGCGCAAATTATGGGGCTGCCGAGCGCGTCCTCGTGCGCGTGTGGTGTGTGGTGTGTGTGTGTGTGTGTGTGTGTGTGTGTGTGTGTGTGTGTGTGTTCAGGAGTGATGAGCAATGCCCCCCAGGGCCCCCCAATCCCGATATCTCCCTCTCTGCCTACGGTTTACCGGGCAGTTCTATTTGACGATATATAAACTCATTTAGTGAAATTTAATTAACTTACAAGAAAATCAAATATGCATAGAATCAATATATACTTATGTATTATATTATGATTATATTATATTATGTTATATATTTTATTATGTAATTATATTATGTATTATTATTATGTATTATATTATATATTTTATTATGTATATGGTATATGATATTTTATTATGTATATGAGTATGATAAATTATCATTCATAATTCATTCCCTAAATAATGAAAAATCTATCATTTTACTTATTGTAAATATCATTATTCTTTTTTCTATTTACGATTATTCTTGTATATTTTTTTCTGATTCATTCTTGTATTCATTTTTTATGTAGATCTTTATACTGATTATAGATTATTGATAGTATAGAATACCTGTTTAGTATGAAAACCTTTTCAATTAGAACTCTTTCTATATATATAGTTTGTTACAGCCCCTCGTTTGTTGTCCTCTTCTCTCTCTCTGCGCCCGGTTTACCGGGCAGTTCTGTTTGTGACGATATATATATGTGATGGGGTGTGAACCGACAGTCTGTAGAGTTTTCCATCTGGTGTGGGTGAGTGATAGTCTACTTTGATTTTGGTTAAGGTGGATCATCACTTACAGTGTAATCAGTGAGGGGATTCTACAGANCTACAGAGTGTTGAGGGCTCAGCCTCCTGATGAGTCGGTGAAACTCCGACGAAACAGTTTGTCACAGCCCCTCGTTTGTTGTCCTCTTCTCCCTCTCTGCCTACGGTTTACCGGGCAGTTCTATTTGACGATATATATGGTTCCGTTTTTTTACTATGTATATGGCAGATTTTGTTCTGGTTATCGTTTTGGTATCCCGGATGGTTTTGTCCTGTTGTTCGGTCTATTGGCGAGGCAGCGTAGCGGTGCTTTCATGTGGGACTAATCATCCGGGTTCTGGTTTCTTATGGATATGGTAGATTTTTTTGGTTGCCACACTGTGGATCGGAGTTTTTTGGTAACCTTGTCTGCATCCCGGTTGGCTCTGCCCCGTTGTTCGGTCTATTTTGGGAGAATGGTAGCGGTGCTTCATGTGGGATCTGTCATCCGGGTTTTTCTTTTTTTATCGTCTTAGGGCATCCTGGTTGGCTGTTTCCTGTTGTTCGGCCTACACGGGGGGCGGTGCTTTTATGAGGGAATCGTCATCTGGGATTGTCTTCCTCTTTTTTTTTTTTTGCAGATAAGGTGCTCTTTGTTTCAGATTCTTTGCTATGGATATGGTAGAATTTGTTCTCTGGTATTCATTTATGTTGAAAATGGCCTGGCTCATCGTTCAACCATCTCACAGTTCCCGTGTCTTGAATCCTGGCTGGTTTGTCCCGTCGTTTGGCCTGTGCTGTCGGGGGCGGTGATGCATGTGGGACTTGTCATCTAGGATTCGTTTGCCCCCTGTTCTGTAATTTTTGGCTGTTCCCTTCCTCTTTTCTTTGCCTCTTGGCCTTTTGGCTGTGTGCAAGTGGGTCGATATGACACACGAGGGTGGGGGCAGCCGCCGCTCAACCTACATCCACGTGGGCGGCCTTGTACGCAAGAGGTTCTGAACAGGGGGAGTCTTGTAAGGAAGAACATAAAAAATGAATTTCTTCTTTTTTTCGCATTTGCGCTCTGATAAATTTGTGAGGATATATAAACTGTTTGGGCTTGCTCTATTTTGGGCCACGATCGGGCTCGGTACCAAGTGTTCGGCTTCAGTCACCAAGCCCGAATGCGATGCTTTGCAGGTGTGAACATAGTTGTTTTTCCCCTACCGCTTCCCTGTGAGTCTGTGCCATGCACTAAGCTGGAAACCGGTGCGGAAAAATTGAATAAGAGGAATCAATTCTTGAGTTGTGAAGCTTATGCAAGGAAAATGAGCAAAACCGAAATGACGGAATCCAAATTGCAACATCACATTGTGAGCCAGATAGTTGCAACCTGTCCAGAAAGCAGAAACGCAGTGATATCACACCCAGGAGAACCAAAGCAGCGATTTCAAATGTCAATGAAAGCCTTCTCTCGACACCATTAACAATGTACGCGCAGCTCTTTCCCCTACCGGCGCTCACCGCCCAGACTACAATCACACACCTACTATGCTAGCCTACTACCATGACGAAGCAACCTGTTGACGTCAGCAGCAGCAACCAGGGTACATGCAGATGTTGACCCATCAGACCTCCACCAGGACCAGGTACATGCTCTCACATCTTCGCTCCCACTCGCCCTCTCAATGCTCACCCTCGTCTCACCCACAGCTATCTCTCTTGCTCTCTCTTGCTCTCTCTCCACGAATACCACCACCACCTCCACTGGCTTCTCCTTCCCCAAGCCTGACTATGGATGGGTACTGGCACTGCCTCCAGCAGCTTCCACCCCTGTGCGCCCTCCAGCCCCTGGCCTACCAGCGGCCTCTAGCTCTCAAACCAGCAGCGCTGCTGCTGCCAGCAAGCACACGGCCAGAATGCCTCACCACGAGGCAGGCACTTTCCCTTACGTAAAGTGCTGGCAGCTTCTGTCTGCCTGGGCTTGCTCGTGGGAGTTTCTAGTGTTGGCTGTATTCTGGTTGGCTCGTGGCCAGTGTGTGACAACACAGCTGCATTTTCATTGGTCCACGGCCGCTGTGCGATATGTCGGCTTCCAGGCTCTTGCCGTACACGCCCAGGGCCCTAACCAATTGTGCCCTGGGACCCGTTCGGTTGTAAGGCTTGACTGCCCAATATGGCTCAAAGTGTTTGCAGCAACCTGATTGGCCATCAGGCCTCCTTCCACGTTGCTATCTGGAAGAGCCTAGAAGGTTCACGGCCTTGGTCACACATGCGACGCCCTGTAACCAACTGGAGTGTGGCAACTGTCTGGCGCCCACCAGGGCTGGAAGATTTTGTAATATTCAGGCCTCTTTGAGGCACAGGGGCCGGCTTCACTTAGGGCGGACTCGATGCTTGCAGCGGGGGCCGATACGGGCATGCCGAGAACCCGTATCCTCGCACATATATGATTTTAGGATATCATTTGCAGCCAGCTACTTGTTAAAATATTTTCAAACATCACATGCCTCTTTTTCGGTTTTTCTTTTCTTCAATTTTTGCAATGGCATGGGGTCACTCGAGGTCATCCCTGTTTCTGGCCAGTATGTGACCTGGCTTGGTCCTTAGCATTCACATGTATTCCTACCCTCATCTGTATGAACATGACCATTCGTTGTAGTCAATATTGGGGAATGGCTGGGCTCGTTCTTTTTGGAAACAACAGTGTTACGATCCAGTTGCTGTGTGAACCCGGCAGCAAAACAGTCTGGGGACGTTCGAGTCCTTTTGCGCACTGGAAGGTCAGGCCACTGATGCCTTTTACTCTTGGGTACTGTCTTTCTTTTGCAGATCATCCATGTCAACATTACATCTGACCCTGAAGGGAAGAGGCTTGTGAAGTCTGGGTCACCCTTGGAGTTCACCTATTCGGTGAAATGGGAACCCACGTCTGTCAAATTTGTAAATCGATTTGACTGGTATCTGGATGTTGGTTTCTTTGAGCATCAGGTATGTCTTCCCCTCTTTCCAAAATAGAAATGGGAACGGGCTTGAGCTATTGTCATTGAAGTTACCGGCCCCAGGAAAATCAGAATTATGTTGTTTTCATTTTGATTGCATCTGGATTCGAACTTGGGTCTGTATTTCAACAGTTCATGGGTGTACAACTGAGCTATGCCCGCTTGTAAACAGTCTGTTGTTAGTGTCTCTGTTATGCCCTTTTTCATGGGTATAGCACTAAATATTTTTGCTTGGAAGTTTGACATCTTTTTGTGATGTTTAACTGCTTCTGACCTGTCTGTGGCTGACGAGGGGTTGCCTTTGGGGATAGGGTAAGTCTGTCATACTTGGTCATTCCTAGAAACATGTGTGTGTGTGTGTGTGTGTGTGTGTGTGTGTGTGTGTGTGTGTGTGTGTGTGTTTGTGTGTGTGTGTGTGTGCGCGTGTGCGTGAGGCCACCCCCGATTAGGGCGGGGGGCACCATGCATTCCCTTGATTGTGAGAGGTAGCTATGCAGTGTTGATATCATTGCTGTTATGAAATGAGAAAGTGCTTATGTAAATGACACTGGTGCAAAAGGACGTCCCCTACTGAACTGTGCATTGCTTTGTGGAATCAAATATACAGAGGACAACCAGCTGTCAAAAATCAACTCGTTGCATCTGGTGTTAGATGTCATAAAACCTGGACTTGAACATAACTTACCAGGCCGCGCCCGTTTGTTGATTTCACAGCCAAGCAATATCTAGACCTATAGGAAGGCCATCCTGCTATGTGTCCGGCCAGTGCAGCAGGGTTTTGAACCCCTATCCGGCCAGTGGTTTTTGTAGTTCCGACGATTTAGGATTTTGTCGTGTTGGGGGGGAGGGGTGTGTAGTAGTTTTGAGAATCCCATGCAGGTTCGTTGTCTGGCATGTAGTAAAATTTGAGACAAATAGACACCTCAATTTGCCTCGGCTAGATGATGGAAGCAGTGTGCCAGATTGCCATTCCGGCAGAGGCAGGGCGCTCCAGTGAACACTTTGGAATACATCACAGCCAAAGTAACAGCGAGCAGTGTGATTTGCCTGAGGTTTCGTTTGAAGTCTTCTGAAGATGGGAAGTGGTGTGCCAGATCGCTATCGCTGCAGAGGCAGGGCGCACGTGTGGCTGTGCCATACTCAGTGAATATAGGGTCGTTCTGCTTCTTGGCGCTTTGCATAATGATCGGTGTAGTTGGCGTACATGGTTGGCATTTTTCTTTTTTGGCTCTCTTTCATCTCATGTTTTGTCATCTGCGGGCAGTGGTTGATGGACTGAATGAGTTCCGATAAATGATGTGTGCATGATGAAAGAAAACTTCCTCCCCCAATCTAACATGAACCCTGTTTCAAATTTCTTTTGGTTATTGCCTTTTACTGTCGTGGTTGTAACCGAGCAGATCCATTGGTTCTCTATCTTCAATTCCTTCATGATGGTCATCTTCCTCACTGGCCTTGTGTCGATGATCCTCATGCGGACACTGAGGAATGATTATGCCAAGTATGCTCGGGAAGAGGATGACCTTGAAACTCTGGTGAGTTACTACTTTTATCTCAGAAGACTCAGATCTTGTTGGAAAGTTGCTTTTGGTTTTAAACTGCCGCATGACGGGTCAGCTGCGTATGTGTTTGTTTTCTTATTGCAATTGGATGGGTGGTTAGTTTTAGTGAAACAGGATGAAAACACAATCATCAGTATGAGTGAGGGCTGCAGGTGCGGTGTCCTACATTCTTCCCCCGATTACAACGGACGGTCGTTGTAGCTGTATTTAGACTGAAAGATATCCCAAATACAGCTAGAATGACCACACGCTGTGTTCGGAGGAGGAAGGTAATCATGCTCAGTAGAGTTGATGTGGCCTTTCTCGACTTTAAGAAGCTCCGAAGTCCATGTGTTGATGGCAGTCAATGTGGTCCCGGAATCCGATAAAAGGTTTCCAAGGAGATGGTAAACTTTGTGCATCTGTTGGAGCGGAAAGTGCACTGTCATAATGATTGAGGCACAGCCAAAGTGGCTGATGGGCATGCTGAACTGTTTACTAAACATGTTAAGGGTCTCACTTTGGCCTCCTCCCCTCCGATCAGGGGGTAGTTTTATAGTAAGTGTTCATCCCAGTCTCTTGCTTGACACACATTGCCGCCGTTGGTTTACTTGGAATCTGACGCACAATCCGATTCAGGCGGGCCTAAGATACTTGTCACTGCTTCGGCTCTGTGCTATAGTGTTAGTAAGTTTTGTACCTGGTCGCATGGTTTCAGAGCTTCCGAGAGTGTTATCTCAAGTTGTCATGAACTATTGATTCATTCTTGGATAGTATTTATTGTTGTACTCAAGAATGGATCATCTGAATAATAAAGAATCAATGAGAATCATTCATTCTGGGCAACATTGGAAAACAAGTAGAACTCGTGTGGTTTCTACTGGGACCTAATCTGCTAAACCTTGAATTGAAATTGGGCTGTATGTCCCTAGGCCTCTCTTCGTGGAGGACATTCGTATAATACGGTAGTACATTATTGTTGGTATGACGGTTGTTTCTGCAGCAGTGGCAAATGAGGAGAAACTGGTGTTACATTCCTTCAGATGCGGCTTCACTGAAACGCAAATCCCAAATTCCCCAAGGACCAACCATCCCTTCAGCAATTTGTGAAGCATTTTCTGTTGCCATCTTGTGTCCAAAAAAAAGTGTAGAGACAAGGTACGCTTGGCCAAACCTTTTGGCTCTTGCAATGGACATCCCACTGATTTTGAATCTGAAAGTTAGATTTTTCTCTGTCTACTGTTAGATTTTTCTGTGTCTATTGCTGCATTGACCAAGTCTTTTGCTTTGCCGCTGTTCTATGTTTTAAGCGTCCCTCCTATGTCCTCCTCTCACGCATGGACAGTGAAGAGCATTCACACCAACTTCACAAATCACACCCCTTTTTTCCTCCCTCCTTGCCACATTGTCCTCACGAGCTGTGTTTGTGCCTGATTGCTGTGCGGTGGTGTTTTAACTTTTCGACGTGGCTCGCAAACATCTGCAGGAGAGGGATGTGAGTGAAGAATCAGGATGGAAGCTTGTGCATGGTGATGTTTTCCGAGCGCCTCGGCATCTTGTCCTACTTGCCGCTCTGGTTGGAACTGGTGCACAGTTGGCTTTGTCAGTACTGGCTCTCATTCTGATCATAATCATTGGGACCCTTTATGTCGGGTAAGGAAATGACCCCAATTGCAGACAAGGAAGGGGTTGTGACTGTGAATGCATGAGAGGCAGAGATGTCGACCTTTGTTTCAGTAGGGTGGGCTGGTGTCGCTGGGCACAGGGGAAGGAGGTCTCGCTAGCCAGGATTCCATGAGAAAGTGGGATGTAGGATCTTGCGGTGTCTGAATTCTGAAGGTTGCTTTCGTGGTTTCTTGTTGTTGAAGTTCTGACAGTGATTGTTCGAAGAGGTACCTTCGGGTATTTGTTTTAGAAGAGCCTAACCACTAGTACATTTCCCGGCCATTTTTTCTCGAGGCGACCGTTGACGTGCCGCGACTTTAGGGGCACGGCCTACTGAAGGGAAATGGATGGCAGCGCCAGCCGGAAAAGAAAACGTGCTGGTTCGGTTTTCTTTGGCGCACAGAGCGTTTCTGGGCTCTGCGATCTCCAAGACCCCCACAAAAACCGAACTTGGCACATGCAGACTGTGACCCAAAACAAAACAGGGCAAAAAAAAAAGGAAAAAAAAAAAACTGAAAAAAATTATCATTCCCAAATGCACTTTTCGGTGTTGGGGGCGGGGGTGTTAACCTGGGGGGTACCTGTTAACCGCTTGTGCTCTGCGAGGGAAGGGTAAAAAATACTGGTGGCTTACCAGATCTGATCTAGGTGGGTACGGCATCTAGTTGCAATGCCCCTCTCCTGGGGTGGTGTGAGGTTCGGCCTCTCTGTTGTTCGGGTTTCTGTGTGACACACCAGTGTCTTTTTCCGAGGGTTTGAACTTTGAAGATTGCATCATCATTTTTAGCAAGTTTATTCCTCACTCTTTGAATGTGCATTCTTAAAGCTAACAGACGTGATCTTGGTGGGTATGGTGTGTACTTGCTGAGTGGCATAATGCCGTGTGTTTGGGCCGCTGCATTTTTTTCACCAGAGTGGTGTTGCAAGGGTGCATGGTTGAGGTTCGAAGCTTCAGTTCGAACGAATTTATCCAGCACTCAACATGCTGGTTGTGAATACTGTTTGTCTAACGCTCAGATGGTTGGGCCTTTGCAGCCGGGGAACAATTGTAACAACATTTATCATCTGTTACACCGTATTCGCCTTTGTAGCAGGCTATGTCAGTGGAGGCTTCTATGCGAGAAATGATGGTGGGTACCGATAACCTTTCAAGTGCAGTGTGATGCATATCTGTTCACTCTGGAGATCCTTATGGATGTTGTTGTCTGAGCATTTCATGGAATGAGACATACTGAGCCCTACTGATTGCTGTCTTTTGTCTTTAACCGCAGACTGTGTTTATGTGCCATTTGTCCTTAAAGTTTAAACACAGAGTTCAGATGTAGCGCTACGTTCCTTGTTTGCCGTTGACGGTGCGGCATGATGCTGTATTATGAGGAATCATACTTTCCAACTCCTTGTGGGTGGGAGAAGTGTGGCACGTTTCATGCAGCAACGTGGGGAATGCTCTTGGCATATCTGTAAAGCGCAGGTGTGAGCAAGCAGCTGGTGATGTAGAGGGAGTTTGTCTACACTCATACCATATTTTTAAAGCACATGAGGGGGGTGGGGAAAGGGTGGGGAATGGGCAGGCTGATGATGGGTAGCTCATGTGAGATCAACAGCGAAAATGGGAATGCTTTGTGAGCTCTCAGCCATCCAAAACAGAACGAGGAAGGGCAAGGAATGATTGTCGCGACAATTTCCAGTGTGATTGTCGTCCATGGGTAGGAAATATAAAGAAGGGTACTTTTGAAGACTTCCTATTTATATCATGTGTATACGTCATCAGATGGACTGTTCAGGTGCGCATGGTTGTGTATTGGTCCTTGTCACAGACATAATCATGCCAATCATACATCCACTCAAGAATAGAAAGGATGAGCTGGAGGGAAAATGGAAAGGTTGTCCAGGAGCTGAGTCTAAAACGAGTTGGTTCGCTTTCACAGTGGGAACCTGTCTGAGATTCACAGGGACCATCTTTCCCCGAACACAGTCTACCATGAATATTTACGTGCTGCTGTCTGAGATTCCCGGGGACCATCTTTCGCCGAACACAATCTACCATGAATATTTACGTGCTATCTTCCGGTTTGATACAGTCATTACAAGGGTGCACTGTGTTCTGGGAAGATGGTAGTGAAAAGTGTCGCATGAAAGGAGAAATCCCATCAACGAAAAGTTCTTGTGAGGGTAACACGTGTATTGGTTCGCCCTTGTACAGCAAAATCAGCTGTTATGTAGCATGATTGAGAGAGGAGGAAGAGGAGGGGAAAAGGACTGAAGGGTGTGTGGGGCGGAGTAGTAAAACGGTCTTTACCCGATTCAGCCCGTCCAAAGGATGCAGCATATTGGGGTACCTCGCTCCGAGGCCAGACTGTGAAAGCAAATCAAAAGACATGTTCTCTGGTCAAGAGTCACATCTAAACTGAAGTAAAAGACATTCACAAGAGTCACGATTGTGCCCTGGACGAACAGTTGCAAAAACCTAAGTCTGGGTCACATCTGTTCATCCAGGGGATATGTGAGTCATGTTTGTTCGTACAATGAAAGTGTCTGTTCGTGCCAGAAGTGTGTCTGTTAAAAAGGAAGGCAAGAGTTTTAAGTCTCGGTTCAGAATCGAGTCAGGGGGTTAGTCTAGATGCAGATGGGCTGTCCGAAATTGAGTCCTACAGGCCGCAGCAGCAG